ATTTAATAAAATTAAAAAAACCGCGAGTAAATTTCCATAATCAAAATTTTTATTACCTTATACAGGTATTTAATAATAATAATAATAATAATAATAATAATAATAATAATAATAATAATAATAATAAAAACATATTATGACACGGTTACTTTTTTTCTAACGTAAACAAATTTATTATAACAACATTTACATGGTAACCTGCCAATAAATTTATTTATTTATTTATCATTAAGTATCAATATTAAAATTCACAACATGGCTGACTAACTGACTGTCTGACTGATTTTATTAAATGCGGATGTGACATTTATATTTTTTTTGGAACCTAAATTAGTTTTCAGGTTTTTTTTTTTTTTTAAAAATATCAATTAATTGAAAAACTATTTCCTTGACCTAAAAGTTTTATTGATATAAACATGCAAAGCAATTTAATAATCATATTGTCTTTAAAAAATTGATTTCGAATAAAAATTATTTTTCATCATTTTATTTTAATGAAACTCGAAATAAAAAAAAAATGACATGTTAATGATAATGATAATAATAATAAGGTTTTATTACATTACCACCCATAATACTTTAAGTTAACTTGTCGAAATGAAAACTAAAGCTATTATGTATTACATATCAAATTTATTTATTTATTTTTGAAAAATTATGTATCGATACATGAAAATAATCTTAATGTGTATGGTAATAAAAAGTTTATTTATTTATTTATTCATGGGGAATACATAAGGATATGTTTCCTCATTTAAGAAAAATGATTCTTATGTAAATAATTAATTAAAAAATTAAAGGTTAAATTTTTTTTTTTTTCTATTAATGTTAAAATCTTTATATAATGATCAAATTAAGCAGAAGTATCGAGCAGGTTTTGTAATGATCATATATATATGTATATGTGTTTTTAATATGACTGATTCGAGTATTGCAAATAGTAATAATGATGATGATGTTTTGCATTATAAACATGCATTTTGTAAAAAAATTTATACATATATATTAATTTGATGAACATAACTAATTTTATAGCACACACACATAGCTTGCTTTTGAATTCAGTATTTAAAAAATAAAAAAAGAATACAATTTCACTTCCTACCTGTAACTGTTATTTTAATGAATCTCAAATTTGTAGGTATAATGTATTCATTGTTCCTCCAAAAAACAATTATTATATCATTTTGTACAGTTAGTTATTTTTAAAAATACTAAAACAAAACATATTTTTTTCTAAGACTAAAATAATAATTAACCTTTCCTTAAAATACTTTACTTTTTTTAAAACAAAATAACATTGTTCATCCGTTAGTCTAGTTTTTTAATAGCTAATGTTGTTAATTATCCTTGAAAATTTTTACGCCATTCATATTTTATTCTTTTATTATTCTCGAAAATTACTTATATAAATTAAAAAGAACCTTATTTTGCACTGAACGAATGAAATAAAATAAAAATATCACGATTTGAACACACAAAATGCACGCTCATCGTTTTCATATCTAAAAATTGTGTTATGGGATTCGAATTCCGTTACAATTCAAATTTCGCGATTCCTCCTGCCACGATTATTTTAAACGTACGTGGGTTTTTTTTTTTTTAGATAAGATTATTTCATGCAAACGTTTGAAAAAAAAAAAAAATTTTATTTTTATTGTAATTCGTTGGAAATGAGTATTTATAATTTTTTTTTTTTTAAAATTAATAGGAACTTTTTTTTTTTTTTTTATTTAAATGTAATAAAAACTTTCAACACGGTTTAACCTTCTACCGTGAAGGACATATTTTACGTCGGGCCCCCTTCGAACAACCGCCAGGGAATTTAACATTGGCCCGAATTAATAACGATTTTAATAAATTTCGTTAAAATAACACCCCGAAAATGTTTTTTTTTTTTTTTTTGGATATTATCCCGATTACACGAAAACCCATTCGGGTTTTACATTTTTAAAAAAAAAAAAAAAAAAAAAACTTTCGGTCCCCCCTCGATTTACAAAATTAGGTTTTATTTGAAGGTCAAAATAAAAACCAAAAAAAAAAAAAAAAAAAAATTTGTTCGTTTTTGAAAACGCAAAAAACTTTTTTTTTTTTTCTTTTCGGACGTTACATAATTTTAAAAAAAACTTTTTACAAACTGATACCAATAATTAATATTTACTTTTTAGTTTTTTTTTTTTTTTGGCATAAACATGGTAGAAACTAGACAATTTTTTGCTTCTTTACTACGCCAACAGGTGTAAAAAAAAGTTTACGTAATTTATCGAATGGCAAAAGTAAAAATACATAATAATAATAATAATATTTACGAAAGAGAGAATTCACCTAAAATCGACAAATTTGCCAAAACCGTTATAATTTTCCTTTCATTTTGTTTTTATGAATACATCATCATTAAATTATTTCCTTCTATCGCGGTTATTCCGCCATATTGAATTGGCAAAACATACATTCGATTAAATTTTTTTTTTTTTTTTTTATTAATTAAATTTATTTATTACGAAAATTAAATGAAATAAGAAAAGAAGAAGAAGAAGGGGAGGGGAGGAAAAATCGTTTTTAATGTTTTTTATGTGTCAGAAATGAAGGGGGGGGGGGAAACGTTTAATTTTCCATTAATTCAAATCACGACGAACACGAACAAAATTTTTTATTTTTTTATTTTATTTTTTATTATCGATTTCAATCCTCTTATTATTACTTAACTCTTATTATATCTTATTAATTGATTTTTTTCGATAATCTTCTATAAATTGGCGTGATGCGTAAAAAAAGAAAAAAAAAAAAACGAGAAACTAATTATACATTAAATAATAATTTTAAAAAATATCAATAAAAAAAAAAAAATGGCCGCATACACAAATAAAAAACCTGATAAATTTAAAAAAAAAAATTTTTTTTATTTACTGGGAATTTTAATCGGATTTCTTTTTTTCATCAATATAATTCTAGAAATTTCGCTTTCAATGAAATAAAAAAAAAAAATTTCACACAAAATTATACGAATTATATAATGATCAATTACGTCATTCGAACAACCGAATAAAACTTTTTTTTTTTTTTTTTTTAATTTTAAAAAATGGCGCGAATTTAAAACGCGCCATTTCTTTTTACCATACGAATTATTATTTAACGTTAGATTTTTATTGTTTTGACGTGTCATCATCAATCTTTCCCTTCCGAAAACAAAACAAAACAAAATGGCGTTTATTTACTCTATGACGTTAAAGTCACGTCGTAATATAATTAATATAATACGTTTTATAACGGAAGGAAATAAATATTTTTTTTCCTCTTTTTTCCTCATAAGAAATTAATCGCGAAAAAAATTTTTTTTTTTTTTTCCTTTTTCAAAACTTATTAATCTATTTCACCTACATTTTAAATCCTTGAATATTTATTTTTCAAGGTGTTATCTAATTATTTACGTACTTTTTTTTTTTTTTAAATATATTTGTTAATTTAAAAATTAATAATAAATAAATTTTCAATGAGGGAAAATTTTTTTTGTTTAGGGGGGGAAAAAAAAGAAAATTTCTTTTTTGTTTGTTTGTTTGCTTTTTGTTTGTTTTTATATATAAAAACACGTTCGAGAATATTATTTACGATGTTTTTTATTTTGATAAATTAAAATTTTTTTTATATTTGTCGAATATTATAAAAAAAAATGATGTACGACGTCATGAGGAACAAACGCCATTGACCTTCTTTTTATTATTATGAGAGAGAGAGAGAGAGAGAGAGAGAGAGAGAGAGAGAGAGAGAGAGAGAGAGAGAGAGAGAGAGAGAGAGAGAGAGAGAGAGAGAGAGAGAGAGAGAGAGAGAGACGACATTTTTCTATGAGTTTATTAACTATAGGTCATTAATATAAATAAATAAATAAATAAAAATTGAAATTTTTTTATGCAATTTATTTACTCGCTTCATTTAATAAAAATAATATTTAATTGTTTGTATTTTTTTATAAGAGGTACATAACGTTTTCGAATTGTTTTTTTTTAAGCTACTTCAGCATCTTATTCTCTCTCCCCTAA